GGATGCTCAGATTTAGGGACACAGCCCCAGCCTGGAGCTGTGTAGGTCAGGGGAGCTCTGGCAGGGGGTGGAATGCTCGGATGTTCCTGTGCAGGTGTGGGATCCTCTGGAATTGCCAAGGAGCATTCCCAATCCTTGTGTGTATAGAGGAGGGAAGAGGATTGCTGTCCACACCCAGCCTGTCTTACAAAACAAAACAAAACAAACCCCCATCCATGTTGCCTTTCAGAGCACAGCAAAAGATTTTTTTCTGCTGTTGTTGAAGCTATTGAGAAGTGCAGAGCAGGAAGGGTGTGATTCCTGCAGATGGGGGGAATCTGCAGTGCTTTTTCCCAGCTGATCCAAGGTTCCTCCTGGGTTGTTTTCCCAGCTGGATTTGACCAGCTCTGGAATCGAGGGCACTCGGGGTTTGTCCCTTTGTCCCCTGAACTGCACTGGGATGGGGCATTGTCTGTCCAGCCAAGAGTCCTGGCCACGTCCTGGGGAACTTTTTAGAGGCAAGATGAGGTTGATAAGAAATATTTAAAGTGCTGAAATATTCTGCAGTTGGAGCTGTCGCTGTAAATTTGCTCTGGGAGGGAGCCCTGGCTTAATGAAGCTGTTGAATGGCAAATCGTTGTCACTGCCCCCAGAACTTTGTCCCTTTTATATGAAATAAAGACATTTATGGCACAACCAACCCCAAGGAGGCTCCCTGAGCAGCCACAGCCCAAATTCTGGTGCTGAAAATTTTAGGCTGAGACTGAGCAAGGCCAGATGCCAGCCTGGCACAGGGCTGTGGCAGGAGCTGAGTTTAGCAGGAGAAGGAGCTGCTTTGGGAAATGTGACACAGGGGGGTCACTGTCCTGCCTGGGGATGCTCTCAATGGTCCAGCTCACTTTGTGATGATTTTCCTGCTCTCCAGGATAATCCTCCCACATTTCTGGAGGGTGTTTGTGTGTCCCCTCTGCCCCATTTCTTCATTTTTCCCCTCTTCTCCTTCTTTTTTCTCACTTTGCAAATATCCAAAGTGCTTTTTTTTTTTCTTTTTTGATTTTTAAAATGTTAGTAGCCCAAAAATAGCCTTACTGGTCAAATTGACCAAAGAGAAAAGTGTTAAATATCTTGTTAAAAAAAATAAATTAACACACACTCCTTGGCATCATTTCCCCCTAAATAAGCTCAGTTATTTATTTTATGCTCTAGAGAAACTCAGCTCTGTGGAGGGGGCAGGGAAGGGAAGCCCTGGTGGGTTGTGGTGTTTTCAGTTTTTGGGAAGTCCCATAGCCAAGACAGCTCTTGTTCCCCTTGTGCCCCTTGGGAGGTGTGCTCTGTGCCTGAACATTGCACAGGTGGGGAGAAACAGGAAATTTCCTTTTCCCACCAGAATCTCACCCAACTCTTCCTCTCCAAGTGTTCCAATATTTCCCAAACTGCTCATAACCCCGGGAGCCAGCTGCTTTTTCTGGATTTGTGCTGACTATTGCCATTATTTACTGTATAAATAATTTATCATTTGTACTATTGTATCATAATGTCTGTATCTTTGTGTCATTTTTTTTTCTCCCCCCCCCCAGCAATGTCACAGATGTGATATTTAAACGATGCCATCAGAACAGTGGAAAGACGAGGGGTTTGGAGGTGACTGGTCAGAATTAAAATTGTATTGCTTCTATTCCAGCTGTGTTGCTTTTTCCAAGCTTCTCCATGGTGTTTGTTCTCCCATTGCCAGCCAGGCCCTGCTCGGTGGAGGTTGGCAGGAAGGGGATGGGTTTGGGGTGAGCTGATGGAAGGTTTGTGGCAGGAGGAGTGAGGGTGCTGTGGATTCCTTGGATGCATCCAGGACTTTTCCCAGGACAGGAGAGAGGAGGGGTTTCTATGGCTCACTGAACTCAGGCTCAGCTGAGACCTCACCCACTCAATAAAAATGGAGATTTGTTGTGTTGCAGGTGACTGAATTCCTCCTTTCACCCCTGGAACAGCCCCGTGGAGGCAGCAGTGCCTCGCTGGAGGCTCTGGCTTTGTGTGCAGGCAGGAATGTGGGGAAGGTGCTGTGGAAGGAGGGCTGGGGAGCTGGGACAGCACCTGGGGACTCCTCACTCCCCACTTTGGTAGCTCAGCCTGGGCTGTGCGTGTGGATCACGGGGCTGCTTCCAGCCTGGAGGAGATCCAGGCTCCAATCCCGGCTGTGTTAATTGAAGGGCACTTCATTAGCAGGCAGCAGCAGGAGCTGCCTCTCCAGAGCCCCCCCAGGTTCGTTTGCAGCCAATCAGGCTGATCACTAATCAATGGTCACTAATTAATGCTGGGGATGTGACTGTGGCAAAGGCAGCTTTGGGGAGAAAATCTCAGCTTTGGTTTCTGCTGCCCCAGGAAGGTTCCAGTGTCCCTGCAGGAGCTGGGGCTGCCCTGGAGTGTCCAGGGCCAGGCTGGGCAGGGCCTGGAGCACCCTGGGGCAGGGGAAGGGGTTGGAAGTGGATGGGCTTTAAGGTTCAAACCATTCTGGGACTCTGATTCTGCTCCTGCCTCTTGGAATTGCACAGTTTCAGCTGAATCTGCTCACTGTGTGGAAGATGGAATGGCTCAGGCTGGAAGCTGTGGGGACTCTGATCTTGTCCAGAGGAACTGGATTCTGGTGGGTTCTGGTCAATTCTGGTGAATTCTGCTGGCAGTGTGAGCGAGGGGAGCCTGAGCTGCCCCAGCCCGTGGTGAGCAGGGCTGTGCCCGTGGTTGAGCTTTCTGCTGACCTTGCAGAGCTGCTCCCCCATCCCACATTTCCTCTTCCTCTTCCTCTCCAGAGGAGCGAGGAGGATTTGCCTGCTCTGCAGAGGAAGATAAGGATTTATCTTTTGGCTTCCCCTCGCCCACACTGCTTTAAGATTTTGCTGAGGTTTGTGTTGCCTCTTTGTGCTGGGCTGAGGGTGCAGCTCTGCCCTTTCTGCTGCTTTTCTGCTGTGGGGAAGGGCTGGGCCCATCTCGTGCTCTGGCTTTGGCACTGCAACACCCTGCAGGCTGCATTTCAGGGAACCAGTGGGAATTTCAGGGCACCAGTGGGATTTATGAACCCTCACGTTCAAAACTCCCAAACTTTCCTCCCAACCCCACCCATCCATCCCCAGCCCTCCTGGAATTCTCCACAGCACCACAGCTGAACCACCTTGAGTAATTCCTGCCGTATAAAATCATCAGACATCTTCATGTCCTTCTTCCCCTAGAAGATGTGAAAATCAGCTCTGCCTTCTTCCTAAAGGGTTTTTGTGGCCATGGAATGAAATCCATGGATTTTCCAAGCTCCAGGAGCCAGCTCTGCTGTGCTGGAGCAGCCCTGGAGTCCGTGGGCTGCCTGGGGTTGTGTTGGGTGATGGTGGAGGAGGTTTTTTTTCTGCTTTTTTAATATCTTCATCAGCAAGTCTGGCACTAAATGGAGTGATGATATTCTCTGAGGTGAATTTGGGTACTTAAATATCCTGGCCTGAATAGGGAGCCAAAAATAGGCACCTTCAGCAGTTCCATGTGTCTGCTGCTCTTCCCTCTGAAGGACGAGGCTGGATCCCTCAGATCCTGCTGGGAATGCAGCTCCTGTTGTTCCCTCCCGGGCCCAGCCCTGCTTTCCATGCCCCAAGGATGGGTTCTGAGGGATTTGTGCTGTCCTGTGCTCCCAAACCCACTGGCAGCTCTGGAGTTGGGTGGGAGCTGCAGGTTTGGGAGTTTTTGCTTCCAAAAGTGGAGGTGCCTCCTGGGTTTGCAAATATCCACGAGTGTCTCACAACTTGGGGGTTTTGCTCCCCCATGTTTGGGTCCCAGAGGACTCAGCTGATGGAAAAAGCCCTCAGGGATCCCCTGTGCATCCTGAGGGTGATGTTGGGAGGGGACAGGGTGGGATTGGGGTGGCCTTTGCCCAGCTCTGCTTGTGTGGCCTGGAAAACATCCCAGAGTGGAGCTGGTGGCTGCTCAGATGGAAAACATCCCAAAAAATGGCCTGGAAAACACCCCAAACTGGAGCTGGGGGGGCTCAGGTGTGAGGGACACCCTGGAGGTGTCCTGGGTGGGTTCTCCAGGCCCAGGGTGGGTTCCTGCTGTTCCCCAGGTCTGGGTGTCCCCGCGATGGGGAATGTCCCAGCTGTGCCAGCCTGGCTGTGCCACTGCTCCCCCACAGCTGCCCTGTCCTGTGACCCCCAGATCTGTGCCCAGCACGGCTCCAGGGCCTTCACCCCCCAGATCTCCAGTGGCACAAATGGGACACAACACTACAGACCTGTCAAAAATTGGAGCTAAATCCCCAATTTTCTTCTTTTCTGCTCTGTGCTTGTTTGATTTTTTTCCCTAATTTTTTTTTTTTTCCTTTGGAGCATTTCACAGAAGATCTCCTGCTCCCAGCCCGACACTGGTGCTGGGGAGAAGCTGCTGTCAGCTTGAATCCATCTCATTTTCAGATGGAGATCACTCCCAGCTGCCCCAGAGCTGCTGGTGTGAGGCAGCCTGGCAGCCTCTGTGCATGCTCAGATCCCGGCTCAGCCCCGGAGGTGTTTGCCCCCTGACTGCCAGGGCAGCCAGCACGGAGCCACTTCCACGGAGGAACGGCAAAAACTCGGAATTCTTCCTCAGCCTCGGAGTTAATCGTTATTAATCACTCCCAGCGCTTTCCTGAGGGCTGGGAGCAGCCACGAGAGGGCAGGAGCTGCTGCTGCTGTTCGGGAGGAACGCGGTAAATACCAATTCCTGAGGATTGCCCGAGTGATTCTCCTTTCCCTGGAGGGTTTGATCCCCAGCTGCTGCTCAGTCCCTGTCCTTGGCTGCCTCCCTCCCTGGGGAACAGCAGGAAAGCTCCCACGGAGTGAACCCAAAGCCTCTCCAGGCCAGGAGAGCTGCAGAGACCCCAAACATCTCCCAGGCCCTGGTTTGTGATGGCCTTGAGCCCCTCCTGTGCCAGGACTCGCTCTCCAGGAAGATTTTTATCTTTTTTTCCCCCTGCCCATCTGGAATTCAGAGGATAATGACCAATTTCAGCATCTGGGAGAGATTTCAGGGCAGGAAGCAGAGCTCCAACTGAGAGCCTCGTGCTGCTCTTGTGGGGTTGGGAATTTCAGAACAGGTTTGAAGAGAAGGGAGAATGATTAACCAGGAAAGGAGCAGGGTGTTCCAGCTGGGTGAGCCCCTGTGCTGGGTTTTACTGGGATTTGGCTGTCCTTAAAGCACTGCTGCTTCCAGGGTTTAACTGCCATGAACCATGAGGGATCCTAAATCCCTTCCTTGTCACTGCTCCCTGCTCACGGTGTCGTGTCCATCTTTGTTCACAGGTTGTCCCCAGGAAATGATGAAAGCAGCAGCAGGGCCATTTCTGGGAGAAGTTTCTGAGGGATATCAATGGCACTGAGCTTGGGAAACTGCAAACATCAGCCCCTGGGTGATGCCCTGAGGGAAACACTCACAGGAAACTCGCCCAGCCCTTGAGGAAGGTAAGTGAAGCTCTCAGATGTGCTCAAGCCACCGAGGAGCACCAAACCACCCCAAAATCCAGCTCAACCCAGAGAAAATAAGGCAAAAATCCTAATAATGCAGGTAGGAGTGTGGGATCTGCTTAGAGAGCAGTTTAAACACCTCAAGGTTCTTTAATCCTGTCACGGAGTTTAGGATTTTTGCTTTTCATTGTTTTTAACCTCCCCTCAGCAGCAGCAGGAGGTTCAGTGTTTGCCTCCCAAGCCTTTCAAACTCTGGTATTTATCCTGCTTCCCAAACTGCTGAAAAGGAAACAAAATTCCTCAGGTCTCCTCTGAGCCAACAGGAAATGCTTCTGGATTTGGATTCCAACGTGACTCAGTTCAGAGATTACAAATGACCAAAACAACTCCACTGAAGTGTGGAGTCAACAAAAACAAGTCAACGTTTCAAGGATAATAAAAAATTATCCTTAAAAACGTTTGGAAAAGTATTTTTATGTCCTATTAAAGGTGCTGCTGCTCCTAGCAATGTTCTAGTGGCTACCTTATGATCTCAGAAATTAAATTTATTCCATCCCACTGTGGATCAGAACAATCTCTGCCCGGGGGGTTTTGTTGAGCTGTGGCCTGGAGGATTTGTGGTTCATGCCTGGGTGTTTTTCCTGGGATTTCTACACTTGGAGGTCTTGGTAGTTCCCTTTTAGGGAGATGGTGTCGTTCTCCTGGGATTTGCAGTCAAACACAAGAGGTTACATGCCCAAAATTAAACAGGAAAATGACTCAGCAATTAGTCACTGCATTGAAACACTCCTTTTTCTCTTCTACCTTTAAGTTTAGCAGAGCTCGGATGATTTAGGGCTTAAAAACATCCTGGCACAAACAAAGAAACTCCTTTATCAGCACAAAAACAAATGAATCCATTGATACAACAGAGTTTATTTATTCAGCCTAAATAAGCTTAGAGGGGGATGCATTTCACAGGATCATTTTTGCAAGGTGCAATAATTTCAATTCCTCCTTTGCAAAAAAAAAATCACTAAAGAGAAACTGGGTTTGCAAAGTTTTAACTGCAGGGAAACCGCTACAGCTGGAAACTTTCTGTGTCATTAATTCTATAAAAAGGTGTACAAAAGGCTGCTATAAAAATATTTTGTTACAGGCCTTCCTCTGACACAGCCTGACCCCTAAAAACACTGAATAAAATACAATAATCATCAATAAAACACTGAATGTTACCAATAACATCAATTCCCACAACACTTCAGCCTTGCTGGGAGGATCAGGCTTGGTTGTTACCC